GTCACCACCGCCGTCCCCGCCCCCCTTGATGACGTCACTGGCGTCCCCGCCCCCCTCGCTGCCGTCCCGGCGCTGCTCCCTGGCCACGCGTGCGATGAGGTCGATGGCGGCGTGGCGCAGCGGGTGCCCCTCCCCCCGCCGGTCCCGCCCCACCCCCAGGACCCGCCCACTCCGGGGGTCCACGGCTGCCGCCCCCACCCCCAGCCCCGCCCCCGCTGCCACGGCCACGCCCATGGCCACGCCCGCCACAAGCTCCTCCCCCGGGGACAGGGCGGGGGGACCGGGCGGGGCCGGGGGGCCGCGCCCCACCCACGGCCAAAGCCCCGCCCCCTTCGCCGCCACAGACTCCGCCCCCGGCGCCGGGACACGCCCCGGGAGCCGCACCCGGAACGGGGGGCCCAGACCACGGGGGGACACCCCCGGGCCCAGCAGGGACTCCAGAACCAAACTGGGAGCACTGGGAGAGGCACCACTGGTGGAACTGGGAGCACTGGGAGCACTGGAGTCACCGGTGGAGCTGGTGGAACTGGAGTCACTGGTGGTACTGGTGATACTGGTGCCACTGGTGGAACTGGTGCCACTGGTGGAACTGGTGGAACTGGGGGCACTGGTGGAACTGGGAGCACTGGGGCAACTGGGAGCACTGGTGGCAGTTGAGTCCTTGGTGGTGCCGGTGAAACTGGTGGCACTGGGAGCACTGGAGTCACTGGTGATACTGGTGGCACTGGTGGAACTGGGAGCACTGGTGGAACCGGTGGCACTGGTGAAACTGGTGGCACTGGTGGAACTGGTGGCACTGGTGGCAGTTGAGTCCCTGGTGGTGCTGGTGAAACTGGTGGCACTGGGAGCACTGGTGATACTGGGAGCACTGGAACCACTGGTGCCACTGGGACCACTGGAGTCACTGGTGCCACTGGTGGTACTGGTGAAACTGGTGCCACTGGTGATACTGGGAGCACTGGAGCCACTGGTGCCACTGGTGATACTGGGAGCACTGGAGTCACTGGTGCCACTGGTGGCACTGGTTGAACTGGTTGAACTGGTGTCCCCAGTCCCGGCGATGGCCCTGCTGTCCCCGCTCCCAGTGGCGGCACTGGGAGCACTGGTGGAACTGGTCAGACTGGTGCCACTGGTGTTCCCGGTCCCAGTGGTGCCACTGGTCCTACTGGTGGCACTGAAGGCACTGGAGGCACTGGTGTTACTGGTGGTACTGGTGTTACTGGTGTTACTGGTGCTCCTGGTCCTGGTGGCCTCAGTGACATCATCAGTGATGTCATCAGTGACATCATCGACGGTGATGAAATCAATGGGGGCTCCGTCACCTGCAGGACCCCAAACCAGTGACCCCAATGCTCCCAGTAACCCCCCAGGAACCCCCCAGTGTCTTCCCAGTGCTCCCAGTAACCTCCCAGTCACACTCC